TATAATACAGTGCCAAGAGACAAATAATCTGCTGCTATAATTTAACTGACATTGTTTCTCAATCCCACATAATTACAGTGGGAAGAAAATAAAAAAAAATACACAAAAGCAAAACTAAGAAGAATAAAAACCCCAAAACAACTTTTAAACTTATTGCTCATAATGTGGTATCTCATTTCAGATTTTGAAATGGGATACCTCCAATAATGTCAAAAAACCCTGTTAGCTTGATTAGCTGGCTTGATCTCAGCATCGGAGCTATTCTGGACAAATGTACTTTGAACAATTTTCTAAGAGAAGCTTACACGGTTTCCTTTATTTGATTTTTTTTTTTTCTCATAAGAATTTTATCAGTAGCAGTATCTGATTAAGGTGTTTTTAAGTCAAAAATCATTGATTTCTTTCCATTTTCTTCTCCTTCGAGAAATACCATTTCAAATTTTCACTGGATGATGATAAACTGAAGGTAATTAAAAAAAAAAATAAAAGAACTTTAATGGATCCCTAATGGACATAAATTCTGTCAAGTTATTTGCAGTGGAAATCTAGGGACAAATTCCTGTCTGCAGATCTTGGTTATTCAGTGTTGTTAATGCTATTTGCTGCAATGATTGTGAAATTTGAATCAAAGCCCTGTTGAACCCTAAGATCACTCCTGCAGTGATTCATCATTGTTACAAAGAAGGTGTAAGGCTTTTTTTTAAGACTCACTGTCCTTGCATATGTGAGTACAGCTGCATGTTACAGAATTATCAGAGAAAGAAAGAATATGCCCAGGATATAACCATTCACCCTACTTCTTGTTTTAGTACCTTGAGAAAGCCCTGGGCAAGTTAGACTTTACCTAAGGTAGTACTAGGTATGCTGCAGTGCAAACCTGATCTTCAGTTCAGTTTCGAATCCAGTTTACTGATTTGGGCCATAAGCCACTCAGCTGGGTCTTGGTAGACAGTGGCCTTCTGGCTTTGTTTTCACCAAAGCAATGGCAGGAGAGATCAGCCCTCATGCTGTTTTGAAAGTTTTGAACTATTTCTGGATGCTGTTGAAGAAGTTGTTGCATTTCAACCCATAGTGCTAGGTGGGGGAATTTCTAAATTGATATGTGCATGCATGTACACAGACTGCCGGACGTAGGTCTGTATATATTCTGCTTTGGATAAAGCAGAAGCAAACAGCATTTTTCTGTATTCACTGGTATTCTGTATTCACCCTACAATGAAAAGTCCTGTCTGGAGGCAAAGCAACTATATCTTCTGAAAAAAAACCAGCTAGCATTAATAAAAATAGTCTGGACTTCACTGGACACCCAGGCTATGTTTCCTGTAATACTTCTTACACTTCAGCCCTAATTCCCATGTTTATTAGAGGTCATCAAATGCAGTGGTCAGTAATAAACATCTTGCATACTAAGAAGGGACCATTTTTATATGCTTTACCTGCTTCAAAATTGGAACATGGGTTTCTTACCTTTGCCATTAGACTTTGATGCTTCTAAACTGTTATATAAAATGTCAAATGATCAGTCTCTTCTTAACTTGTTAGTCTTGTTAACTTGTTTGTCTGTAGTCATCTTGCTAGTCTCTTAAGCCATGATTAAATTTTGACTGCCATCATAAAATAATTATAAGATCGGCATGATACAGAGAAGTGTAACTTCACAGATGAAGAGAACAGAGGGGAGAAATACACTGTGAATGGGAAAATCTGTTCACATTAAAAAATAAGGATCAGAAGCTAAAAGTCATTAAGTTATTGGCAAAATAGATTGCTTTTATATATGTCTTTCTCCACCTTTCCATCCACACGATAATTTTTTCTTTAGTGTGTTAAAACTCAAAAGATCAATACAGTGTAGGAAGGAGTATGGTATGAGCTCAAAGCATACAGTAGCAACTGTCTTGTGATAAAAGAGCTCAGTAGTCAGAGATAGTTTAGTCACTACGAAAACATTTGTTCTTGCACTGCTGTGGCATAATGTGAATTGCCATGCTGTACAAATACTTGTTTTGCATCTGCACAGCTTTCATCTAAAGTGGAGACATAAGGCTACTTTTAGATGATTAAACAACATAACTGAAAAACAGCATAGTTATAATGACCTATCTTGTGTGATGCTATATATATACAGAAATCCAAACAGAATAAAGAGTAGTATTAAGCAAATACGCTTTCAGCCACATGGTGATGTAATTCGTACTTCATCTCTCTGAGCATTTACAGACTATACAGTGTTTGGAACTAAGCATCTTATATAATCACAACATATTAATCTCTACAGACAAGTCTATTAGATTTGCTTAGTGCTGGTCTTACAACACAGGATGAATTAAAATATGCACCTGTGTAATGTTTGTTCTCTGTACTTGGTGATAATGTACTACAGGAGCAATTTGAGGATAAAAATTAAATTAAATACAAATGCAAAAAATGAGCTGCCAATATATTAATTGGTTTAAAGCAATTTGAAAGTAAGGTAAAAAGAAAACCCAAATGCATAAATTTAAATTTTCTAATACACTACTGTTTATTTTTTAGCAGTTCTATATTTCAGAAAATTAAGTTCTGAGACACTGAATCAGATGAGAGCTAAACAAAGCTATGGGAAAATGGTTCAACTATGACATTACAATTACTGTTACATTCAGAGAGACTAGAAGTTCCTGGGTCAGATACCAACATGTGAAGATAAGGGTTCAACTCCACTAGAAATTGTAAGAGAGAATTATTTTCATACCATCCTCTTCACCAGACTCACACAGGACTTAATATGACCCAAAATCTTTCCTTAGAAAGGAGGACTGGGACAGTCATATAATCTGCCTGTCTGAAGATCTGTATATGCACAGTGCCTTAGCTGTGAGAAATAATAAGGAACTAAATCAATCTCCTTTTTTTTTCAGACATCATCATCTCATGAGAGTAGAACCTGACATTTTTGCTTCCAGTGACCTCCAATGCAACTCATATTGTGACTCTTCCTTTCCTGTGTGCAGGTCTTGCTTGCATTTCAACATTTTACATTAATTTTACATTAGGATAGCAGTAGTTCTTTTAAAATAATAATACAAAGAAGTCTTAATGAAGGTATTTCAACAGCAATTATGGGAGCCAAAAATACTCACCCCTAATATAAACCAACACCAATATTGTTTGCTAAATATGAGCTTTATAATCATGAATGACTTGCTTCTCTATACCTGCCAAATGGGAGTACAGCATTCACAACTCCTACAGCTCTTCAAGCCAGCCAGTGGTTAGAAAATCTAGGGCACATTATCCCAGTCTGTACTTTTTAGAGAGAGAGTTATATTTCTATTTATCACAGAGAAGAAAACAGTAACTTAAAATTAAATTAAATGCCCACCCACCAACAACAAGCTAACTTCCTTAAATTGCAAGCACAGGAAGTTAGGCTAATGATTAATCATAAAATCAGCTTTGGTACTCCCAAGCTTTGGTACTTCCAGAAACATATTGATGCTGAGAACTGCAAAGAAAATGTAAGCAGACAACCTGGCAGTGCCATGTTCAGAAATCAGATGGGATGTAAGCTGGACTGGCCTCTTACTAGAGAGCTGGAAGTGCAAAATTTGGACAGGCATAAGGACACCTTGCTGGAACCTGCATTCCTTGTGAATGTCACTTGGCCTTATCTTCTTTCTGACTGGAGGGTTTTTTCAACCACAGAATGTTATTCTGTGAAGGAAGGCAGATGAAGTGATAGTATCAACAGGAGAAGATAAGGTATTGTCCTAGAGACTAATTGCACATCTTGACTTTCTAATTTGTTAAATAGACAAAAATTCCCCACAAAGGGGAACACAGGTTTCAAAGTGCTGGCAGATTTTTCTACCTCATTTTTGAATAACACAACGTAGAGACAATTCTTATCTAATTGTAGACAATTTGTTAGTCAAAAAACTAGTCGAATAAATTGTTCTTTCTAGTCTGTAAATTAAACTTAGAATGCACATACTCCAGGGAAGATTATTCCTGAGGTATTTATGACTGCAAGATACCTGAAAAGTACTAAAAATAAAATGAAAATAATAAACCCAACAGCTTATATAATCTCTCCTTTTAAGTATGCGGCTACAACATGAAACTTGTGGCCATTAAGAAACCTGGTCAAGGACTATGTCAGCCCCACTTTGAGCAGGCAGGTGGACAAGATGATATCCAGAGGTCCATCCAACATAAATAATCTTTGTATCCCATCAAATGCCAAAAATTAATAAGGTTGTGTCAGACTACTTCAAACCTAAGAATCCATCTTGGGTCTAGCAGCAGAGATGGGTTCACGCTGTAGTGGAAAGGGCTGAAGTGTTCTCTGAGCAGCACATCTTACCCTCACCCTCAGCTTACCCTGTCAGGCCCCAGCTACCTGGTCCTCATTTTCATCCTATCCCTGTAACACCACGTGGTTTAGCTTGCTCCTATTTATTTGCAAGCAACAAGTGTATACACAGCCCCTGAAGAGTCTGAACCATAATGTAGCAGGATCCTGTGTGACAAATGAAGGCAGTCAGAATGAGGGCACAACAGGAAGCCTGTCCTCCCTTCCCCTTATTTTTGTCCGACTCAAATGCACTCACATGAACACAGCGCACTTCCATCTGCTGAGGGAGCTACTCTCTTCTTCTGTCACCCTCTCTCTGCATACAGATGTGCTTGCATGTAGACTGCACACTCCAGAAGGCAGACGCTGTTGGATTTTAATCACCCTGAATTCTCTGATGGATTAAGCCTTAAATCCCTAACCCTCCTTTTAATGCTGCAGTAAGCAACACATATATTGCTTACACTAATTTACAGTTGAAACAAAAGTGGAAGACAGTCAAACTGAAACATCTGAAAATCAATCTATGTTGAAAGTGGATGGGACACTAAAGCATTCTGGATTATTTTCTCCACCCTTCACTCTGCCAACTGCCTGATGAGGCAAAAATCAATGTCTGCAGCAATAAGAGTTGCAAGTACATGTATTAACCTCCACCTACCTGTAGCCCTTCAATTGCCAGTTTGAGGATAGATGGCGTAAGCTTGGAGGCTTGCTTGAAGGAGAAGTTGCTCCAATCTATAATTAGAATGAAGCCATTTATCTGAAGCTCCTGATCTTCAATGAGCACTTCCAAGGACAGCAGGATAGCCCGGAGGATATCTATGAAGGAGTTCCTAAAGCCAAAGCAGAAAAAGAAGTGATCAGTGGTTGCAGTTATCTTCAAACCTCAAGATACTCAGCTTTGCTGTGGATGAGGTGTGAGGGAGGGATAGGGATTTATTCTGGTAGAGTTCTCCTGAAAAGAGAGTCATTTTAGAGGTGTCACTAAAGAGCTCCTTCCCTGAAACTCACATCCTTCTGCTTGGTGTGATAAGTCCTGCACACTGGTGGATAAAATAAACCCTGAATGAAATAGTTTCAATTCTTCTGGCATTCCTTACAATAGATTCTAGCTAAGCTACTTCGTGAAAATATTTGTCTGTGGTGACATGAAACATTCAGGCTATCAGTTTAAATCCCTGCTCTTTTGGATATACTTTACCAATCTGCTTGTTTGTTTGTTTTCCTTCTTTTCTTTCTATAGGAAACAGGAAAATTTGAAAAGGAAATAAATCAGTGGCATATTAATATAAATGGTATGGTTACAACCAGGTTCCTTGGCTTCCTGCTTGAGTGAAGGGAATGATTCTGGGCTTTGCACTATAAATTTTAATTGTTGCCTTATTTCTGCAAACCAAATGAAATAGAAAAAATAGCTGCATCCGCTCAAAATAGGAACTCTTTATTAATTAGCAGCTCCCAGTAGGCTGGCTGAAAGGCTTCCCTCAGCTCTGGGAGAATAATTAGAAAGCCCTGAAGGAGGCCCTGGAGGAGATAGAAAGTGACAGTGAAGAAAATACTGAAATGCTTTACTTTCATGTGGAAGTCTGTACAGAGAAACCTGGGCCTCTTTCTACTTCTATCTCATGCATTTTACAAAAGCAAGAGTTGGACACTTAATGACTAATTCCATATTCACACCTGAGTAAGCTGAATCAGGCTGTCTCCTGATCTGTCCTTCTCACTAAGATGATTTACAAATAATAGAGTCTTTAAGAGAGGAGCAAGAAAAGAAAGCTTCAGAAAGTTCAGATTAACCTTGTCTAAAATGAGATTGTAACATATTGCTTTTGCAGTCTGCTTTATTTCTGCCTAATTCTCAAATTTTGATGATGCCTGAGCTCTATTACAGGGAAAGTTCGCACCATGTTCTCCCATTGAGATTTTAATTTAATCCTCTTCTGTTGTTTTCTTTAATTTGAAACAAGTCATTGAAGCCTTCAAGGGCAGTTTTTCAAATTCTGCCTGAGAGAAAAAACCTATGTGCAGTCAAAGCAAATTTCTCCACCATCAAGACCTCTTCCTGAACAGCAACAACACAGGAGAGATTTCTATTAGAAGTAAATGGTGAATCATAGACTCATAGAATAGTTAAGGTTGGAAGGGACCTCAAGATCATCAAGTTCCAACCCCACTGCCACGGGCAGGGACACCTCCCACTAAACCATGTCACCCAAGGCTCTGTCCGACCTGGCCTTGAGTGAAGTGTTTTCCTGTTCTTTCTCTTCTCTTTTCTCTCATCAGGTTTTGAGTGGAGTCTTTGTCTAAAGACACGGTCCTTTGAAAAAGCTGTTTCTGAACTGTGCCTTTCTGCAAAAGTTAGAAGCTCCTCTGAAGTGTAATTGCTGAAGCAACTTGCAACACACAGAGCTTAGAGATCTAACTTTTTTGCTGCTGGGTACCAGACTACCCCTCTCTCATTTGCAGTAACAGGACAAGGTTGACCTTTTCAAATCCTGTGAGGAAACTGTGCTAAACAGACAAGCTGAAAGTAATTTCCTTAGCAACATAAGGTGAGGGCATACTGATTGGATTGGCAAATTACATTTATGTTTAGTCTAAATTTATTTCAAAAAACTATGATATGGATATATTACCCATCACGCAGCTGGTGATGATTTTCAAACAGCAGCACCAGATTACTAGGATTTCAGTGACGGTAAAAGTGAATGCACCCCTAGACCTTATCTACTTAATATATCCTACAGGCTCTAACCCAGCATCCCTATTCAAGGGGGTCACCCTTCCACAAGAACTGCCCTAGAGAAGCTCCCAGTGGTTGTACAGTGGCTCCAAAAGTGTCATCACACACATGCCAGCCTTCTCTACCCTCTTAGTGACATCAACACACAATGATGTCATCATTCATGGATTGGCTTTCTGGCTAGATTGGGGAAGGTGGACTAATCCAGAGCTCAATTTAACTCCACAGCTGCAAACCCGAAAATGAACTGAACACTTGTTATTACTGAAGGCCACACTGTAATAAAGAAAACTTTCATCCTTCATTTGTGGGAAGAAGTTTTCTTAATAGACCATTCAAACTCATATTCATGATTCTGCTACCCCTGATACTTACAAAATGATTTCAAAGGGCTGTATAAAAACGGTGCATACAAGACACCTTCTGTAATATGCTTAAACTCTAAATCATAATGAAAGATTTTATTTGACTGAATGCAAAATCTTCTTAGACTCTATGCTGAGGAATTCCAGACTTTACTTGGGTGTCTACATAAATTGCCACTATATGAATCAATTACCCACCTGTACTTTCAGTAAAATTATTTGCCTGGGAGATATGGCACTCAGTTTTCTTAGTATGTAAATGATTTGGCTGTGCCCTGCCCAGAGTCCTCCCCAATCCCACAGGTATTTGCAGTTTTAAGACATGGTGTAGGAAATAATTCTAAGTGAACATAAAGACGTTTTTCAGATGAGGACAAGGAGACATGAAAGCAGCACACAGATCTTCCAGGTGGGCTGTTTGCAGGCATGCTGTTTTGTGAATGTAGGGTCTGGATAGAAATCAGAAAGAGTGCCACTTGAGCCTGAAGCCCTCTGCTCCCTAATCTTGAGGCTTTGAGACAAATCATTCAGCTGTGTGACTGATTTGCATCCAAATCATTTTCTATGTATGAACACAGAACCACTTTCTATTAGTCCATCTCTTTTGTTCCTTAGCTTAATATTCCCTTCCCTCCTCCAAACCCCTCTCCACCAGTTTAACCCTCTCTCACACAAAAAAATAGTGAAATAAATTACTATTACACAAAGGGAAATGTGTAGGGTGCTATAAGGATTCAGCATGGAGCCTACTGGAGTGAGCCACTAATGAGTTACAAAAGATTTGCACAAGCTCCAGAAAGACAAAAAGGAAGAAGGAGGGAGAGTGCCTATCTGCCTTGGCTGAATGGAAAGGTACCACAAAAGAGGCTCTTCAAATATCCTTTGGAAAATGGGAAGTTAGCCCAACAGAAGCTAGTGGTAGGGAACAATAATGTAAAACAAAAATGAAGATGGTTTAGCTGAGGGATTTGGTGGAGAGATTAGCCAAAGGCATAACACAAAAATAAATAAGAAGAAATTACTTAATTATAAGAGGCGTAAGCAGGCTGTGAGAGAATCAAAAGGCTCGGTGGAGTACCAGGGAGTAATGGGAACAATTAAAGGGGATAAAGACATTGCAGGGAAATTAAATGATCTATTTGCATGTCTCTGCCACCAGTCATTTTGAAGAGATACATGGATAATAAAGCTGAGGGACTGTTGGAAAATAAGGGGTCAAATAAGATATGCTGCAAAAAAAGCAATACATTTGGGAGAAAACATTAGTAAAGGCTTTTGACATTACTCTCTCTGAACAGTTTCATGCAGGCTTTGTTTTAGGCATGCTAGGGAAATTAATTGGATTATTCAGATGGTTAAGAGTATGAACATAGGGAAGTACTGGCAGCTGAAGCCATTAAGATAATTTGGCAGTAAGCAAAAACAGTCACTAGAAGTCCTGACTGTCCCACAAGACAGCAGGCTAACAAAGTCTGGACCAGTGTCATTACCCTGGCAGTTACAGACAACTCTGCTTAATATTCCTGAGTTAGTATGCGGTAAGAGTCTCTCTCCTATACTTACTTAAAAGGTGGCCAAATCTGAATAACATTCAGCAAGCTGCAAACATGGCAGAGATGCAAATCAGGTAAGAGACCACATCTCGCTTTGTTCCCTCTCCAGACAGTAAATCACCAATGAAGAGCTTTTAGTGGAGTCAGAGGTGGTACTGCCCTGCAAGGAGGATTCCCACTGGGAGAAAGCACATAAGAGGAAAAGGAAGGACTAGAAAAACATCTTCAGGTTGCCCAAATTATTTGAGCTAATCCAAGCTGAAGCAGCTAGCTGCACCTTGAATCCTGTGTTCAGTTCTGGGCTCCTCATTACAAGAAAGATATTGAGGTGCTGGAGCATGTCCAAAGAAGGGTAACAAGCGGGTGAAGGGTCTGGATTACAAGTATCATGAGGAACAGTTTATAGAACTGGGGTTGTTTACTCTGGAGAAGACGAGGATGGGGGTAGACTTTATAGGTCTCTGCAACTACCTGAGAGGAGGTTGTAGCAAGGTGGGTGTCAGTCTTTTCTCTCAAATAACAAGGGACAGGTCAATAGGAAATGGCCTCCAATTGCACCACAGAAAGTTTAGATTGGGTATTAGGAAAAATTTCTTTACTGAAAGGGTTATGAAACATTGGATCAAGCTGCCCAAGGAAGTGGTTTACTCACCACCACTGGAGGTACTTAAAACGTGTAGATGCAGCACTTACGAGACATGGTTTAGTGATGGCCTTGGCAGTGTTAAGTTTGCAGTTGGACTCTATGATCTTTTCCAACCTAAATGATCCTATGATTCTATGAAAGCCTTAGAAAAGGAGATGTGGAGAACACAGCAGATCAGCGCTGGTGGACGAGGGAGAGCCCAGGAAGGAATATATTTCATAGAATCATAGAGTCATAGAATAGTGTCGTCGTTTAAACCCAGTCAGCCATAAATCATGCAGTCACTCTCTCACCACCACCCCCCCCCCAACACACACCCCTCTTCTTGCCCTCCCCCTGCTCATGGAGGGATAGGGAGGAGAATCAAAAGAATGCAACTCCCACGGGTTGAGATAAGAACAGTTTAGTAACTAAGGTATAACACAGATCACTACTGCTACCACCAATGACAACAATGATAAAGGAAATAACAAGGGAAGAGAATACAACACCTCAGCACCAGATGACCGATAACTCACCCCACCCC